GTAGACGACGGCGGACACAGCGACCGAGACACCCACTCTCGTTTCCTTCCTTTCGGCCGATTTTGATCACCATCAGGGCAGCCCTAACAGTGCCTTCGATTACGGCCACTCACAGAGAGGGAGAGAGGAGCTGGAAAGATAACGTGCACCAAGGGACATCCCATCTCGGCTGATGCACGACCACAGGTTGCTTTGGTGGTGTCACAACCAACCTCCTTCTTACTGGTCAATGCAATGTTGGACGACCACTCCGCAAATACTACTGCATCGAGAATGCAGCCATCCATTTGCACTTTAGGCACCGGGAATCTGTTCTGGTCTATGAGCAGAGCGCAGAACAGCTAGCATAGTGCCACTGTTTCGATGGTTATATTCGCTTATTATTTGAAGGTGCTCAGCTGGTAATGTAATTTTTAGAATTCAATGCAATGTTGATTTATTTACATACCATTTCTTTCCACAGTCATGTTGTAATACATCGGTCTTGGTTTATTATCCCAAACTGAAAAGGAAAACACTTTCTATAAGGACCTGAGGTTTTGGTACAATTTTTCGCTATGTTATAGCCAACCTTTCTAGGATTGCGTCGCGTAGTGGACGGGATACATCGCCAGTATTTGATTCCGTCAACTGGAACACCGACTCGATTAGCTTAAATGTCATGTATCGATTTAAGTGCTTTAAAATCGCTTTAATATAAATAAGTATTTCTGGACTTACGGACAATTCCGTACTTGTCGTTTCTAGACCGCAAAATGCTATCCAATCATTAGCAACTAAACCACTTCCAATGAGTGCACTGCCGCGATTAACGGACCCTGCAGCAAGAGGAAGTTGCAGCAGGCTACTCAGTTGATCAAGCTCTTCTACGCTGGTTTGTGGGTGTACGAGACCACCATGATTGGTCAAGCAGGTGTAGGTGCCAACGAGTGCTTCCCCGGCCACAACACTTCGGAAGACCTCAACGTTCAGTACATCACTAATGAGTTCTTCGGTTTCCTAAACGAAGAGTGATCAATGCCGCGACGCAAAATGCATACCTTGTCCAGATCCGGATGAATGAGCGCAACGTAGTCGTTGCACACCACGGTGTTTCCAAGAGCTGAAAGACGCTCCTCAATCCGAACACACCTTACGTTGTCTGGAAGGCTATTATGCAAATGTGCCAGCTCCTGGTCCGTGGCCGTATGAGGGATAAGGAGACCATGTTTGTTCCCTAAATTTGCATTTTAGTGCACTCCGAGTCAAATCACGGAAGACACTCACATCGAGAAAATACAACAAGACTAAAAAGAACATGTAATTCTCGTGAACCTTAATTATTGGGAATAGTTAGATTTATGAGTTTGATCTGACAATGCGAGCATTGTTGATAATTTCTTCTCACATAATGTTAACGCACAGGCAAGCCATACTACCTGCTGTCAAACATCCGACGGACCGGATCCCGGCAATACTTGCGTGGACAACCGGGATACTGTCAGCCAGCTCCGCCTCAAATACGCTTATGCACCGTTATTTTATAAAGCAGTACCTGTAAAATCCTTCCGATCCGCCAATGGAAACCAAACAATATGCGTTTGTGAGACGTGTAAACACCCCTATGTCATTATGGCCTTCGAACTGAACACGAAACGCCATCACAGAGGAGCACGCCGAACAGGACGCAGGTGCCCAGCCCCAACGCGCCCCTTCCCTATTGGTAGCGCATTCTAACAAAACCCATAAATCCGATAATTTGTTTGTAATTTTTAGGTAGTGCGAACAAATTATGAAAGGAAATCCAAGTACAAAAATAAGCAATGGATGATTTATCTATAAGCGACTAATGAAGCCATAGTCCTGAATACTTAAGTCGATCTAAACTTCTGATATGATATTATAGCATCAGTTATAAATATTATGCCAATCTGCCTTTTTTAAAAAGTTTGCCACGGATATAAAATGATACTCTGTTTTTGGGCAGTTAGCTGGTAAAATGCATTAATTTACAAACACTACCTACATTTTGAAATATGCCTTTAAATTTGGAATGATGGACTTTTTGTTTGGCAACTTGTTACTATTGCATTTCTCACTTTACTTGTTATTTATGCTGATGTGCGTGATTTTCTCCTACCTCTAATTAGCCCAGCGATTATATAAGTTTTGTTTCTTTTTCACCTAGTAAAAAATGGAACAGTTTTAATGTAATACGATGGTTGTTTATCTCTCTGTTTTGGTGAGGAGCCACTTTTGACTTGGCTATTGTACAACGCCGGATCGGCTGGCCTTCGTACCACGACAGTAGCTCTGGGGCCTCCGGTAGGCCGAATATATCTATTCTACCCGAGTATCATTTCTTCTTTCGTCTTCAGGGAAGACTCGGGGCTCTGCATCTAATGTTATAGAAGATGTCTCCGTTGAGCACTGTTTGCCTTTTATTTTTACTAAATAACTATTCAATAAGACCTAAGGAAGGCCGGCACCTTGAAGTCGCAACTATTTATGTAGATCTTCCTGTTTCGCTTCGTTGTATGCTGCGCTACACTGCACTTTAGCCTTTGCATGTCGTGCTTCCATTCTTTGACGACTTTTAATCCATAATGATAGCCCGGAAACTCCTCTGTCCGTTAGTTATAGATGTTGTCACACTAATTTGGATTATTACGACCTTGACATGGACTTAGAGTGCTACATTGATAGTGTTTATGTAAAACCGTTGATAGCGTCCTCACGTGACCATGGTTCTGTGGCACCCGCATGGACACAAGGTTCAGCTTTGACTATAGATTGGCTTGAAACCAGTCGTGGTGGGTTGAGAGCTTGTATTGTATTTGCAGCAGCCCATACATCTGTACGTTGAACATCCGTTCTGCGGCAGGGCCTTTAAACTATGGCCTTGACCTCCTAGCCCTTCCACACTGCTGTCGCCTATTACAGCCTCACCAGTCGCTCCGGGAGCTACGAAAGGAGATTGAGGTAATCTCCGAAGGTAGACATCATTTCCGATCCAACTCTTTGGATTGGTCGCAGATTCCCCCATCCGCAACATGTGCCCTACTTCCATTGCGTTAAGGTTTAGCATTCATTAATAGAGATCAGGGTCATTGGCCTTTATGGTAGGGGTCGCTTTCCGCTGTCACCAATGCAGTGACCCAAGTCTTTCCAGCTGTCGAAAGACGACGAAGTACTTGAGCAGAATGTACATAGCAGACGTACACAAGTGCCAAAAGAATATCGGCATATCCCAGCCACCCTGTCGCACAGCGGAGCCATAAAGGCCGAGATTTTAGAGCCCATGAAACCAACAACTTAGTTAAACAAATAGCTGAAGTCTTGCTTTATTTCCAATTAATGATGTATCATCACGAAGCCCGTCTGTGGGAGAGGAAAGCCATGACTGCCAGTAAAATCCATGGCTAATAAAGGGACCAACCCACAACACGCCAGGCAAACAAAACGTGTATGGTGTGTGTTGCTAAATGGTGGTCAATGATCGCTCAGGCAGTCAGCTATGCTAGCTGCTGCCCTTGATCACTATTCGGGGGTTGAAGGATTGGTGGCAACGACCAAACCTGTGAGTTCATGCTGCTACTCCATATACAAGCAAGAATCCCAACAATTGATGCGATGATTTAATGGGCACCACAATAGCCATGTTGAGCGACCCCACTCCATCGAGTTTAAAGCTACTCCGGGAGAACTATGGCAAAAGTAAGAGTGAGAAGCAGTAAGTTTTCGCTACCCATGTGGCGGAGTGAACGTCTGTAGCCTCAGAGCAATAATGAACTTCAATCTCCTTTAGGTATTGGTAACTTGTTGTAATACGATGGTGGTTTAGCCCTCAGGATTGGCGAGGCGCCACTTTTGTACCTTGAATTAGCCTTCTTGTACCTCACTGGGTGGGCTAACCTTTCGGGTCATGCCAATAGCCCAGACACCTTCTCCGCGCTGAATATATATTCTGCTCGAGTATTGTGTCTTCTTTCGTCTTCAGGGAAGTCTCGGGACGCTACATTGTAAATCTTTTATATAAATGATCAAATAAAAATGTCAGCTTTTGCACAGCCTATTCGTCACTGGGATACAAAGCAGGAAGTGGCAGAGAGAAACAATGAATTCTTTACATTTACGTCTTCGGGATACATTATAAACATTCCTGATCTCGATTAAGACGTTTTCATTAGGCTATTAAAATGAATTTTGTATAAAATTTGACTAAACATCTGTCCGACACACTTTATCAAAAATATAGCACAACCTGCAATTACACGTGCTAGTGTATTACAACATTACGACATGTTTTAAATATCCGCTGGATTTTAAACCAGAAAGCTGCATAAATTTCGCCAGAGTAATAGTAAAAATCAAGCGTAATTATGAATGTTACGGTAAAATACATATTGTTAAATTGCAGGGCTCTTCCCACCGGTCCTTGAGGAATGTTGTTTGATAAGAGTCATGAGTTTAACCCAAATACATACTAGTTGCAGCTGACCCAATCCATCATCTGTTGCCACGGTTGCCGTTTATCGGTGAAGGCCGTCTGCAAAGTTGATTCAAAAATGGGTGATAGGGTCGTTTTGGGCTCGCAGCAGCGCGTTTACGAAGAAATGAGCCAGAGAGGATTAACCGTTAATAACATGGTATGCTTCGAATTTGCTTTAATTATTTGCATCGATTGAAATCGGCATTTATTTGGAGAAGACTAAGTAATCAGACTCCTGAGGCTTGTATTGATACTGATGCTTTAAAACCACTGGGAGTGCTGACATGAGCATTCCACTATGGAGGTAATCAGGAGCTGTTTTGTCAAGCCCATAGGAATTTAAATGCTTGTTTTCTGGGTCTTTTTTTCCAGAAGTGTTATGCATGCAAACGATTACCTAGGTATTCACTTGAAGTCAATTGTGGAGATTAATTTCACAGGGATTCGAGCGATCTCGTAAGGGGTGTTGTTCAAATTATCGAAAAAGTTGATATTTGGCTGTCACCTTAAGTAGACCGGAGATGTTTGTGGATTTAACCTTCCATCAGAAGTGGGTTTCTGCGAAGCCCTTTACTTGTTGATTGCTTATGATTTAATTTACTGCTTCCCTATTGAAACAGGGTAGTGTTCCCTCACTGAGTTCTTGTTCCTTTGCTATCTCAAATATTGGTGGGCTGCATATTATTTTTAACTGTTGCTTAAATATTTGATTTACAGGTACGGCAGATTTTAAAAATCTGCCAGAAGATTGAATCTCAGGTTTCCTCATTAAATAGGCTAGAAGCGGAGAATAATAGGTTAACAGCATCGCTAAACCATGTTGAGGCAAATTTTCTCATGCTTCTGCGGACAAGTCAGGCGGAAATTGCGAAACTGAAACGTGGTTCTCAGAACATTGCAAAGAGGTGAGGTTTGACTAAGGTTTCTTGTCGATTCACTTTTTTATTATTGTCTGAAAATTTATTGGAAAATCCGTTTACTATGGCGGTCGTTACTACTTACTTTGCCGCCGAAGGCTTTCTGTGATATAATTTCTGATTCAAAAAGTACCTTATTCTCTTTGTTTCTGCTTCTGCACATCTTATACTCCGTCCTATTGCTCGAAGGCTTCTTAAATTTGTTTTTAATTATGCACATAGCAGTCATAGGAGCAGAGGTATAAGTACACTTGATCCACGTCGTTCCATTGACCATGCGGATCTGATTGGGTGTCTCCATACACCTCTGAACTACAAAATTATAACAGACACTAAGCACATTCCCGCCTTGAGATGTGCTGGATTGCGAAATGCTGGCCGAAGCTCCTCATCGAGCACAGGCTCGTCAAGTGCTAGTTCCAGCTCTTCCAGTAGTTCGCTCTCCTCGTCATCAGCGTCGGCCTGTCAGAAGCGGCCACCGTCACACCAGCATCAGCAGCCATTGCCTCTATCCGCCTCAACATCTCAACGACCCTTGGCTCTCGTTAGCTCCATCAATTCCGGGAGTAGAACATCTCAAAATCACCACTTCTCTTCTGAATGCAACCACGTACAGTGTCGGAACCAGAAAACTCCGGAGTGTTTGGTCTCCAAACCAAGAGTCTCAATGACTTCGGAATCCGCTTTTCCCGACTCCGTTAGCAGGGTGAAATCAGAGAAGGGAAAAGGAATGGAGAAACATTTGAATCCTGTCATGACAGGTGAATTTCTCCCAATATCTTTACTAGTACTCTAGTTTGAAGTTTTCTACTACCGCTCTTCCATTTCTTAATCCAGACGCGTCGACAGGGGTTGACGATGGGCCTGCGGCTCACCTGATGCGTCTTGTGCGGGCCTCCATCCGTTCGGCGCGCGAGCACCATTCAGCCTCTGTGAAGCTTGCTCCACCCACAGAAGGAAAGTACCTGGCTGATAGTGAGAAAGCCATAATTGATGCTTATTACCGTAAGCGCGCCGTAAATGACCTTATCGCCTAAAACATCATTTACTTTCTCCGATGAGAATCATTGTTACTTTAGAACCTAGTTATGTAGTTTTAGTGATAACTAGGATACTGTCCTTACCGATTAGTGTTCTCGCGCCTTAATTATTCATTGTGTGAATTAATTGACGGTCTTTTATATCGCATTGAGAGACTGTCACTGAGCTGGTGCGTTATCTCGAATAGTCATTTAGGGATTATTTAAGTACCTTCATTTCATCTTCGTACTCAGTCTTTTTTTGCGCAAAATATCAGGCGTCTTAAATAGGTTAGATTTGGCAAGGCCTCTGTTCAATGGGATATACCTTCAGACCAGAATCGTTTTCTTTCCACAGGTAACGATAGCCTGCATGATTCTCTTCTAAACTGTGCCAAAATAAACAGATCTCCTTTTTGCTTGGAGAGAATGCTTGAAAGGCGCACCAACTTTACAAATATTTTACGCTACGGTTTACTTCGTCACACTGCTAAACATTGAAGTTGATAAATCAGGCTATAAACTGCGCATTGGACTTTTTCGACAAAGGTAGAGGTTCACTCATTTATAGTACGGGATCTGGTTTTTATTAAAATTATGGATGTTTTTTTGCACATTTCAGACGCAGAAGAGGAGCGTTGCATGTTGGCATTGAAGCGCCCTCGTAGCCAGAGTCCCCAGCGCAGTCTGCCCTTTTCACCGACTCTTTTTGCCCGACGTCAGATGCTTAAGCGCAGCTCCCTCTGCAGTCCAAATCCACCTCCATCTTGCAACGTCACCTCCACCACAAACACCGCTTCCACCTCCGATCCACTCTTTAGGAATCCTGTCATTTCTAGAACATCTACCAGTGCCAGTATTAACCGCACGGAGGCGAAATCGAAGATCATAGAGAGTGTATCCTACCCCACTTCTCCCGCTTCAGCTACTGCAGGTGTGAGCACGCCTCACATTCCTGAGAAAGAAGTGGAGTTTGTTGACACCGACGATGAAGCAAAGAAGGTGGAGAAGGAGAACAAAAGGCAGCAGAAGATGGAGATTAGGGCGGATTTGGAGGCGGCGACGGGAGGAGAGCAGGAGCTCAGTTTTAACGAGGGGGAGAATCGCATTCACGTCGACTCGCCGCGCATTGAAATCGAAGATGCTATCTCTGAAGTCGATTCTCGGTGAGTGGAGTGAGCAATCTTCCACTTCTTATACATTATTTGCTTATTTTCTTCTGCACCTATTAAGCCTACTGAGATTTCACTTTTGTCAATGCTGTTATCTTTGGGATTCGTAAGCAGCAAAATGCAATTTGCGGCAAACAAACTGGTGGTTGTGAAGCAGGAACCCGCAGTCGATAGTGCACAACTAAATTCATAGTTCCTTGAATATATATAACATAAAAGCATAATGACTGCAAGTCAGCTCACTGTCATGATGTAAAGTTTGTGACTCACCACTACCACAAATGAATCGCCCATATAACCCTATCCATTAACACCTTGGCTAATCGACCTGTCGCATAATCAGGGGTAACTGTTGAGCATTATTTTCATTTTTTCCCCTATTTTGACATGGTCTTTTCGGTTTGTTTCGCCTTTGAAATACGCATTGCTTGATTTTGTTAATACTTGGGTATCCAAAGCGTATGTCGCCTCATCTTCTGCGACAAAATTGCTGTCTAAGAGTGATTTTATCCACTAAAGCGTATTTTCACCCACTTGATCGGGCCTGTTTGTTTGAAATTCCATGCTTGGGTCGAGCATATGATTGATTTTAACACAATTTGAGTAATAATAGAATAAGTTAGATAGTTACTCAAAAGATTCATCATTACTTTAACAAAACGCATTGCTGACATGCTAAAATTTTGTAGAATGGGTCCTCTTCATGGCAAATTATCACGTTTGAAATGGGTCCTTTAGCAAATAACTTATAACTTGCACTTTAAAATGTTGCGCAGTGGATTTCGGCATTCACAGGTGTTCCATTTAAACGTAGACCCGATGCAGAGAAAGGCGAGGCAATGTCAGAGGGTGAGGTGAACGATGAGGAGGAGGAAGACGCGATGGAGGAGGAGAATCGCGGTGAGCGAACCATCAACAGCAACAACAACCACAGGAGGGTGCACCGCAGCGGCCGCATTCATGATCATCAGTGGTTTCATCGTCACGCCGAGTGCAACGCCGCTCTTCGCCATTCGCCGCCGAAGCAGGCTCAGCATAAACCGCGTCATCGAGTCATTACCTCGCATGAGCGCCGCTGTAGCGTTGAGGGGCTGGTGGAGACAATACCTTCGAAACGCTCCCGACGGCTCTCTGATGAGAGAGAGAGCTACACCCGCTTTCGAAACTCACCGCCCCGGCGCGCCCACAACCATCCTCGAGTCCCCGCCCCTCGTCCATCTGTCTCTATCGCTTGTCGCCGTTTTCTTCCCACCAGTGGCGGTGGTAGGAAATTCATGAATGTTTTGGTACATCGGACTCGGCCTTCTCCGGCCTTCACGTCTCATCGCTCCCCCGCTGCGGTCTTTCGTAGTTCCCGCCGATCCGTGACTCAGCGGTCATTTGCGCAGCGACGCTAAGGCCGGTGTGCTCATCTTTCAATCTGAATCCGCCTTTGTTGAGTATCCCTTTCGTTGTCTTTCCAATACTGTTTAGGTACATTCCTTCATATACGCCTTCTCGTATAGACGTGTACAAATGTTTCTTGACCCTTTATCGATCTTCGGCCCTTTGCGTTCTACGTCTTCGTGGGACAGCAGTGTATTTGTAGTGTAACTTTTTTTGTGTATTTGTTTGCCGTGTTTACTCGGTTCATTTTTTAAGAGATCGTAGTTTCGAGAGGGTAGGATTGGCTTTTTTTGGAATTCTAAGTGTCATTCGAGTTTATTTATGCGAGATCGAAATTTGTATGACCCGTACTTCATTCGGTATCAGTTCGTCGTCTTTCTATACTGGTCCCTATAGTTTCGTTAGAAAGAAACTTTATCGTGATTGTATGGGCTGCCGTAGAGTTTTGCTTTCGCCTATGGTAGGCAGCTTAATGAATACTTGGTGGCTGCGGCATCCCTGCCCGACAGTCGAGCATTCCGTGTCACGCTGGAGTGCTATTAACAGGGCGCCTTTTTTTCATTCGCACTTTTAAGTGGTTGCCTTTTGTACCTCTACTGCATAGAATGGTTGGATGCCATTTTGACGTTGAGTGGGATTTTGACGTGATCAATTACAGAGGATAACAGACGGGGCATGCGGAATCAAGTTCCATAATAATTTCGATGCCGAATAAATAATTGCTTGGACTGATGTCTAGTCGAAGAGCATTCCTCGCCATCTTGTGCTAGCACTAGTGAATTTTGTTGCTTGTGGCTGGGTTTTTTTGCCCTTATTGAGAGAACGAGGAACAGTTATTGGACGGTCCTGCAGCAGCAATCTTTCATCCACATTCCGCTGGTGGGGCACTCGAACTCAGTTGCGACCTCACTGTCTGCTTTCACATAGACACAACTCAGTCCTCAAGGTGCATAAGAACTTGCGTCGGCCAGTGAGAAGGTACAGCAACCACACACACGAACGCGGTTCCAGTTGCTTCTTTCTTGTGCCAGTGCAATCGATAGGTGAGCAGTGCTCTGGACTGGATGCAAGCACATAGAAGTGCACAATTGGTTAACGCGATACCGGCTTGAAAAAAGTGAGCAGGACGGAGCGGAAGCACGTGATTTCCGCGATCCTTATTAAACAACTCTACTGATGCTTCTTCCATACCCAATACTAGAATTATGACTCTGTTTAGTATCAGTGGCGGCATGGCACGCAGATGTACAGCAAACCCTCCTGTCCCCCGTATATTCATAGAGAAGACTTTCAATCAAGAGTTTAAAAACAATTCCTAACGCTTAATGTTTTTTTCGGCAGCAGATCAGATGGTGCCCCCACTTTCCTGAAACGACGTTTGCATTATCACTTTTACTACTTCATAAGCATTGCAACGTAGCACTTTTCAAGTACTTCCACAACTGATATAAAACAATTTTTTATGGTGATTTTATCTACCCGTGTTTGCTAGGTCACATGCCTTGAACGTGTTAGAGCAAGTGTAAGCTTGAAACTGGAATTATTCCTATTAGGACCTTCCATCCCACCATGACATAGTGCCTTTCTGCCAGTCAAGCAGACATAACGATGGGACGAGTGATTCCACGAAAGCTCCCCAGAGATAGCTCCAAAAACAATTAATTTGGGGGTTACTAGTAAGCCACTCTTCAAAATTTAGTAAATCCACTAAAGTCGCACATGTCTGCACCATATATTTAAAGCCAGCTATCAGGATGACACTCAAAAAACCCCAAATTCCTCCATAGCTTTACTACTTCCGTCGAACAAGTACCGACTCCATAATCACAAAATGTATGGCACATCCACCGATGGACGTTAGACCTAACCAGTGCACCAACCACTAGTGGCTCATTCCACGATTCTACAGCCCAATGCGATGGAAATGACCTCAAGAGTTTAGTGTTTTCAAGCGAAGTGACATTCAACGAGACCTGTCCAGTCGAAACAATTCTTCAACGGCCATGACGCGCTATCCTCCAACATTTGACATCAGCTCGCAAAAATACGGGTAGCGACTCAATTTCTAGCTAGTGTGCACGCACACACCCCCAACCGCAAACTAACGCATTGCCGACCGGGAGAATTTTCGTGGACGATAACGTGTGTGGTAGACAATTTCTGGAAAGTGACATTATTCTTAAGGCACGCATAATTACGGTAGTAAAATTGACAGAGGAAAAACCTAAAGGAGTACAATATGAACTCCAAACTTCATTGGATTGTGGAACACCAAATCAATCACTTCCTACCATAAAAGGACGTCCCTGGTCGATGTAGTAACAGGAGAAAACAGTTTCAAGTATACAGAGGTGTTCGAGATAAGCCCTTACACTTCAAGATGAGACTACTAATAGTCAAGACAAATCTGTGGTGGAATGGCACAGTAAGATAAAATTCGAAAGCGTGTTTGCTTATTTACCTAACAAAATGAAGAGAACTAACAATAAGAAGGAACTTGAGTGCGAAACAAGGATCATTTAAAACGCAAACGTACACATATACATACATAATATAAGGAACAGGAAGAAACCTGAAAAGTAGAAAGACATTGGCGCGATGAAAGGGGAAGGAGGGAGAGTGAGAGGTAGGAAAGCAGAGGGGGAGTGGTGAGTTTTCACATGACAGGAGAGGCAGTGCTGTAACAGAGGTAGACCGCAGCACCGAAGATGTTCACAAAACCAGCAATGATGAAGACAGAGAGCCAGTGACCACTGTATTCCGTAACCAGGTATGCTGTCAGTGGACCACACAGGATTCCGGGGATAGTCGCCTGCAGGATGAGAAAAAGGGGAGCACTTGGCAGTTCAACTTTGCAAATCGACGCTTAAACACGTGCTCTGCAGGCAACTGGAAGCGAACCAACCACGTCTTGAAGAGGTCATCACTAGAGTCAAATATGATAAACAGCCCCGATTTTTTGTAATCCTGACAAAGAAAATAAACTACTGCACCGTCAATCGCAACAGTAGTTCGACGGAGGGATACTAAATAGCAGTTGTCTGTACAGAGAAAAGCAAAATTGGGAAGTTTTTAAAAAACGAAAATCAACTTTATTTAGCAATTCGCTTGATTTTATTTGAATTAGTTCTCTGAAAAAGCAAAACACCATGGTAGACATTACCTAGCTTAAAAGTTAAATAACGAAATGTAGAGAATTCTTCATCCTGCATAGCTGCGTTGAATGCTGGCACAGTTACGCTAGATGTCAACCGGGTTATTGACTGTGCAGAATGTGTACAGGTCATTGGTGAACACGCTTTGAGCTGCGTTAGACGATCCGCAAATACTTATCATTATCATCACACTCGAGTTGCTGAGAAAGACAAGGATGTTTTACCCAATCTCTACACGTTTCACGTGGGAACAGAAAGTATCATGATAGTGGTAACAATTGGGATTATAATGGTACAGGCTCTGAGTGGTAATAGTTAAACTGCTAGGCTTGCTTAACAGTCTGCATCGGATCCACCATTTCCCGTGTGTTAAATGGTGAATTGACCCAAAAGGGGTGAAATGTATGCATACCCACAGTGGTAACGCTACAAATAAAGCCAACCTATCCAGTGGGAGTGAGTACACAGCATCGTCAAATGAGTCTAGATAACATAACAATAACTGAATGAAATCATTATTCGAATTGGAGGCTTTCACAAAATTTAATGCGAGTCGCGTTTGTTAGCAGTCAGCTTTAGCAACAAAAATAAACGCACCAAATGCGCATTCTCAGTTACCTTAATTGATGCCACCATTATAGACATTAAGGATACAAGAGGCTATCAGCTCTCCTTGATATTAAAAACCGTTATAAGCAAAGACTGCAGCACACTTGTAAAGCAGAGAAAAGGTGTTCAAAAACAGGAATGAATTGATCATATTTGCAGTGTAATTCTATTAGAATGTGACGAAGTACCGACTGAGAAACTACCAATTTAGCCACTACAAAATGTGGTAAAACACCGGAGTGCGCAAATGCTATTCACCGTTCAATAACATTGATAAGGGATCTAAGGTGGCCAAGTCAGGAAATTCATTAACAGAGACATTGTAATTGGTACTTTCGCACAAATTGGTAAGTAAACTTAACCTAAACCATTGTCTCCCTGGTTTGAAAGAGTGGAATCAAATCAAGCGCCTGATGACGAAAGTAGTAAACTTAGTGGAATTTTGCTAAAATTGCTAACTATAACCACTTCACTGTTTTTAATTTGCTATGTCGCCTAAGTATCAAATGACTCCAATTTCGTGCAGATTTGACTGACGACTCAAAACACCGACAACAGAGGGAAGTCAAAGCCTAGTCTCTGCGATAAGCAAATTCAACAGACTTTCACACGTGGACTCGATGCTCAAAAATGGAGGAAGGGGAGGTGGCGGCGAATTGGCGACTTACGAGAGTGTTGCTGATGGCGAAGGTAATGCCAGCGTGATTGGGAGCGACCTCTGCGTGGGCAGCCAGATGACCGGCCGAATTAGAAGCCGAAAGGCCCATCGATATGGAAATCAGGCTGTTCCAACGACCCGAAGGGATTTTAATGATTCCATATAGACAGACAAGAAACGAATAAAAATAATATAGTATAATGCAAAAAACTCATGAAAAGTTAAATGCTGTTAACAAGTTACGATTTTAGAACGAGATAGGGCATAGTGTCACATTATTTACAACGCAAAATGTACGTTCAACTAATCAAATATGCAAAGAAGCCGATTTGCAAGGATAATTGGGAACTCACAAAACGGCTAAGGGTATGCTTGTTGAGGCAGAAAAGATGAAAAGGAGGCAGCCGGGGCCAATGAGGCCCACTGAGGTCATAAGACGGCGTACCCACAACACACTCCACCGTTGACGCACGAGGTTGTCTGCCCAGTGGCCGGCGGCTTTGAAAAACAAACGCTTGAATTACAAACACGTAACTTCACATTTTCGTTAAGGACACGTTGATAATAATGGCCTATTAGAAGCGACCAATCTAAGAACAATAGAAAGTGGAAGAGGCCGTCACGGAGAAAAGGCACCACTTACCAATTCCACAAATGGAGTTGGTAATATAGGGAAGGGCGGTAAGAGTAACTTCAAAACGACCGCCGCCGAGGGAACGGACGAGATAGGTGGGAAGCCATTGCATAATGATGTAGTTGGACCAATTCATGCTGAAATGCGCCGCGTAAATGGCCCACAGGGACCGATGACTAAAAAAGTCGCGCCATCGCATCGAACCGTTCAACTAAACAGGTTGAAAGCTTGAGAAGTGAAATCGAAACAACTAAACAAACATTTTCCGGAAACTAACTAGACTATTGCAGATATCCTCAGTAAGAAAGACTACTGGATCAATGTTCCCATAAAATAAGATAGGTAGTCAGAAGGTATTGCGGTTCCATTTGAGTTAAAAAACGCCCGTGAAAAAAATAAGTTTCCTGCGCTATGAAAGGTAATATATCCCAACTGTGCAGGCTGGGAGGAAAGTACATTAAAAATAAAATTAAAACATTACTGGTGGTGTCGAAACAGGGTAATCAGAAGAGCCTGGATGCTCAAAATCACCGAAGGACTTGGTAAACAGGACCCACGTGATGACCCAGAGCAGACCGGATCCACCGAAGAGAAGAAAGGGAAGAGGCCAAGGCAGGTGAGGCGAAATTATCCCAGCAACAAACTGACCCACAGAGCCCAGAGCAATTAAATAACTGAAAGCTCGGCCACGTTCCTCCACAGGGACAGTATGGGAAAAGATGTGGAATATGGTAGGCAGTCCTAAAACACGGTATTACAAATAAAAAGGCGCGACTCAAATCACAAAGCAACAGCAAAAACACACCTATTCCTTCACCAACACCAAGAAGGAAACGGAAAAGTATCATGAGTGGCCAGGAGGAAGCGAAAAACGGCGTCAAGAAAGAAGATAATGACCACAGCAATACGGCCAGCGTAAGAACTCTTCTTCCACCAAAATTTTTGGCTGCACTACCACCAGCAACCTTAAATTAAATAAAAATCAACAAAAAAACATACTAGACTACTGAGGTAACCGACTGAAAAGCTGCTCAATATCCAGCCTTGGAAGTGTAGATCCCAATCAAATTCGTCCGCCATTGAAATAATGGTTATTGGCATCAGCACGCGATCAGCCGCATTTATAAAATTTGCAATACAGCATAGCGCAATGATAACATATGGAGCAGCGGCAGGCTTCACGGTGAAGCCATAGGGGCAACGAAAGTCCTCCATTCCAAAAGCAGTGACCAATAAGGTCGGTGTGACCAAGGACGTGAGTCATACCGAATTCAGAATGGGTGCCATAAACAACCACTTACTGTAGTAAAGGGAAGTCTATGATAAGAGAACCAGGCAATAAGAGGGCAGCCAACTAATTCAGCAAGTAGTGCAGATTTGTGTGTAAAGTGAAAATTGTTTTTTTTATTTCCAAGACAAGAAGCAGCTGTGACTGCTTATTCAAGGTCGCAAAAAGTGGTCCGAAGGTTTAAAGATAAGAAATTTCACCAAGTCTTATTCTTTCAGTAAAAAAATTAAATTTGTTAAATAAAACAGGCTTTAAAAGTAAAAAAGACTGCAGAAATGCAGCAGCACTAACAATGTTCATTACCGGAAAATTATCGTACACATGCTTCCGTGTATTGCAAACTGCAATTTAGAAACACTTGCACCTTTCTAAAAATTAATCACTAGATAAATGAAAATTTTAAAAAATGCAACTTTGCTTGGACGGAAAAGACTGATTCTTTTGCAAGGATTTTGGGAAGTTTCAGCGGCAAGCACACTTTGCATAATTAGCCTAAAAAATCTGCTTTGCATTGTAGTAAGTAAAAGCTGTCAACGACACAATGTTTTTAACGTATGCAATTAGCTAAAAATAATAAAGGTAGGGTTTTTTGCTAAAGTCTTAATGGCCGGGACTTTTGCTGCTGGGTTTTTACGTCCTTTGTACTTGTTTTAAAATATTTGGATCTCTGCAATTTTTCGGTCACAGCTTTGCACCACCGCTTTCTCCTATGTAGGTTGCTTTCACTCAGCATAGCTTTGTGGCCATGGTTCATCGATTGTGATTGGCAGTTGTCTTTCCCAATTTAATTCAGACAAAAACGCTGGATCGCGCTAGATATGATCTCTTTTCTGCTGGCCTTTGTGTCTAGATTTTATTTGTTACTTTTCATCTATTTGATTTAGCTATTATAGTACGTGTTATCTGCGCATACCCCGCTTTATCTTTGTTGGCTGCATGGTAGTTTTGGTGAAATCGCTATAATAGCGCGATAACCTTTTGTCATAGCTATCTCAGATTTTATGAACGTTTTTTGCATCAAGTCTATTATTGCTTGTTTCCTTTTTGTATATCCATGCTCTTACATCCTCTGTATTTAGCTTGTTTGATGGAAGAGCAAGAGAATCAAGCTGATGATGCGGAGGCGAATTTCACCGAAGCGGCTTCTTCCCGACAGGATATACCTCCAGTTTCTGTGGATGAGAATAGCGTTGCTAGCGCCAGCGAGTTGTCTACGGCCTCCGATATCGCTTCTAGGCGCTGCTTACGGAGGTCTCGACGGATGGCTCACAACTCTGGATCCTTCGTCACCGAAATGGAACTGGAAGCGCTTTTTACAGAACCATCTGAACAGCCTGTTACGGAGTCATCTGGTCGCGGGAATGCAGCAGAAGGGATAATTACTGAGGAGTATGAAACATGGGTAAATATGGGAACATTGCATTTATGCAAATGATACAGCCTTAATGAATTTTCTTTGCTGTCTCAATAGCTTATGTGCTTGTAGGTCGAAGTTGAACAAATTCTGAAAGTACGAAGAACAGCTCCATTTCCCGGTGCGTATCATTCTCTTACTACTACATCACTCAGTTCCCCTTGACCATTTATTAAATCCATGTGCCTTGTTCTCATTAGAAATCCCTGGGCATCAGTCGTGGGGAGACAGAGTGGAGCAGTACGCGCACTTTGTGAAGTTTCGTGACCAGTCCTATTGGCACTGCAATTGGATACCAGGTTCAGCCATTCTCCGCATGCATCCCGGTATGGCGAAGTACTTTCACCGTCGCAATGCAGATCTCATTGATCTTGCTGACGAGGAATACAGGAAAGAGATTCGTGCAGCGGATGAAGCAGGTAGGACTGATCCCCCCAAAATCCCCTCTTCTGACGAAGATGTCGATGAATCAGCCGTGGACGTTTCAGAGCCCAAAACTACTCCTATTGCCGGAGGATCTTTTGCTCTCAAGTGGGTTAATGAGGCTAGATATTCGTCTTCCACCGAATTGGCCAATAACTAGCGAGTTCTATCCCCACCAGTTTGCTGAAGCTGCAGCCAAAATGGGGTTGCCGTCGGTACGAGTACTACCTGAAGAATGGAGTGTTGCCGACCTACCTCTATCCAGAACGCGTGCTCTCAATCAGCGAGGTTTTTCGTCCTACTATCTTCGCACCAATGCGGCGGAAGCTAGGTTCTACCCATAAATCAATTAAGAAGTCCTCCCTCACCTCGATGACCCGTCTTCGCGAGATCCTTGTGAAATGGTGTGATTTGGATGAGGCTCACGCTACATGGGAGACGGTAGAGGTTAGTCTGACTCACCTGGACACAATGTTGCCGCGTTACCGTCGGGCTGGACTTCAGCCGCTTGATCCCTGTGGACGGCGCCTCCTACCCTCATTTGTGCGGCGATGGATTCTTCAACTGGCTGACGCCCATCTCTCTCAGGTCGCTAGTCTCTACACTCTCCACCTGGGCGAAGCTACTAGGGAACAAATTATCAAACTTTATCAGGGTTTATCCAAGCCACCTCCTCCGTCTCCGCCCTCTAATTGGGAGGTTAGCCCTTTTCCCTCATATCGCTTTTGCGGCTCTGAAAACTGTCGAGATGAACAGGTGGTTGATTGCTAGCACTGGAAAGTTATTTATGGTTACTCTTATGCATGGACATCAGTTCTTTGCCTAAAAATTGCAGCTCCACTTTAACATAAGATGAGCTTTCGATGGATAAATTAATTTTGCATATTTGTTGAAGCAGTCACCGTACCAATGGGATCAATTTCCGTAATTTTAAATCGCGGAGCTAATGTGAACTTATTTGATTCATGTTATTTATTATTACTGCCACTTTCAATCTGATCATTCAGCAGTTCGTCGATAAGTACTTCTATACTGCAACTATTTCGGCTGTTTTTCTGTTGCACGTTGTTGTTTAACTTTTTCGACGTTTTATTCCATCTCGGATGCGGAGCTTTTGACGTGCTTGATTATCTCAAAAAAATGATGAGCTCTGGCGAAATTTTGCCTTTCGATTCCACGATCTTCATTTCTAATAGGAAAACTGGATAGATAAACAGCCGAGTTACCTTTCCAAGTGGGAGGGCGGGCGACTGCATTCTTACCAAATGGAAGGCGTCCGGTGGTTGCGGAAGTCTTTCTACAATCACATCAATACCATTCTTGCCGACGAAATGGGTCTAGGCAAGACAGTCCAGATCGTCGCTATGCTCTATTCCCTTGTCCAAGAAGTACGTACCTCATTAATTCTGAATTCTTCCCAGTAATTTCTACATGCAATGTCCAACGAAAGAATCTCAATTGGTTATAGAAAGTGGGGAATTGGAGTACTTTTTTTAGAATCAAACTAGCATGGGGTATTTTGGTTTCAGTGTATTCAAGAAAAAGCATTTTGGTTAGGATACACTTTGCTATTTTTTTTCGGAGCCTGAAGGTTTCAGTTCGGTGCCTTTTACTGGTGGGCTCTTTAGTTCGTTTTTTACAAGAGAAATTTTGAACTAATTTTAAAGGACAAACGTCCGGGACCCTTCCTTATTGTGGCTCCGCTGGCCGTCACAATGAACTGGAAACGCGAATTTGCCTTCTGGGCCCCGGAGATGCAGGTGATTGTGTACACCGGTGATCGTCAAAATCGTGCTATGATTAAGTAGGTTATTTGGCTGCTCCTTTTTTCTGTCTCTCCAACTGCGCTAATCAGTTGTTAATTTTCGCCTACAGCGAGTACTGCCTCTATGCCAACAAGGCCTCCTGTATTCCCGCCTTCCACGTGATGATCACCAGCTACGAGATGATTTCCTTGGAACGCACCAACTTGATGGGTTTCATTTGGCAGGTGCTTGTCGTCGATGAGGCGCATCGTCTAAAGAACAAACAATCTCGTGTAAGTGTCTAAAATCCTGCTTAATGGGCTTGAGCGATCCAATTATTTATTATCAGAATCTACCATTTAATGCGCATGCGTTACGTACTGCGTAAAACTACCAGTATCCTTCATTCTATAACCACAAACGTTTGGTAATAGCCCGGATGAACTTTTTCTGAGATTTCAGTCAACCAATTTTTCAAGGGGATCAACTAATCAGTTTCCATAAGAGGGAGGAATAGTTTTAAATCTTAAATTCACGAGAGTGAACTATACCATCTAAGAGTTGAGATCTCACTCGAAGGTGGTCACCGTAGCATTTATGACCCCGTGACCACAAAGTTGCTTAATATTGCCGCTTCACACGACTTTAATAGTGCTTAATTCCCTTACTATGAGAAGTGAGTATATAACGGTTAATTTTCTGTTTGAATGTGCAAACTCTGTTGGTAGCTCTCGAAAACTCCGGGGCTCATCTTTCAGTGCCTATTTTCACTACATTTTCGTTTAGCTATTTCGCGACCTACTTTCCTACGACGTTGAGTTCAAGATCCTTCTAACGGGTACCCCACTACAGAATAACCTCGATGAACTCATCCATCTGCTTCACTTTCTAGACCCCAGGAAGTTTAGGTAATATAAGAGGAAGATGTTTTGTTGAATATGCAACTTTTGTGTAAAACACTAAAAACGATTGACAAATTGACTGAAATTTCATGTACTTTCTCGAAAGATAAATTGGATTAGGGTCCTGAGGATTTAGAGCGATAGGAAAACCCACTCCTTTTGAACGGATATTTTTTAGGAACCTTGTACACTGCATTTGCTTAACGGCAATGTGTAACTGCCGATGAGCTAGCAACTACGCTGATAGCCAATTAATTGCGGATCCAGGTATTGAATGATCCTGAAACTCAATAGCATCTAATAGAAATAGGACTGATCTTTCCCTTCTATCTTGCGATGCAACTTCTCAAACAACATGTAAATTCTACACCTAGTGAGCATAAAGGTCGGGGTTGACTCTGTACCATCTTGGTCTCTTAGTGACGTTCAGGCCCTGAGCGCCCAGTGGTCGTCGATGTCCAAGGAGGAGAGGGCTGAGGACTTGCAAATCACACTCAAGGACCATCTTTTGCGTCGAATGAAACGCGATGTTATTAAAGATCTTCCTAAAAAGACCGAGATTATTGTTCTCCTCAGTCTGACTCCACTGCAAAAGTGAGTAGCTTGTGTATTGGGAGAATGTCATATCACCTGAAGTTATTTATTGACTTTATCTAATATGAAAGATGTTTCTCCCTATTTTAATCTTACTAGTGTGCTCTGCAGTGAAGATTGCAGAAGTGCAATGGAAATGGAACTACTAGTGTTGTGGGATGCTGTTCTAGCGAAATTATGTAGTTACATGAAGACTAACTAATGGGTCAGCGAAATTAGGTGTAGATAGTAATTCTAAAGAAGAGGGGCATGCTATTGCGAAACTGCTATTTATGATTCGTCGTCTCATTGTTTTCAAACTCAGGCGTACCTACAAAATGGTGCTGACAAAGAACTACGAAGCTCTGCGCACGCGCAACCTAATGAACCCGTTGCTACACCTACAGAAGATCTGCAACCACCCGTACCTCATGCCCTCGGGGGAGGCGATGGCCCCGAGGGTACCTGCTCCCCCCACCTATGCCACGGATACGGTGTACGAGCCACGCATGCTAGTGGAGTCCAGCGCAAAGTTACATCTGGTCATGCGGATGCTTCGGCATCTGCGCGACCGCGGGCATCGCGTCCTCATCTTTTCTCACCTCGTCAGCATGCTCGACCTTATCCAGATCGCGCTTTACAATGAGGGGTACGCGCTCTCTTCCCTCTTACACTTCACGTGTCGGTTCAATATCATCGAAATGGCTCTGGAATGATAGCACGCTCTTCCCAAGGGAGTCACAAACCGAGGGGATTTAGCATTATCGGCTTATTGTAGTTATGTCAGAAGTAGCTTAGTGGAATTGGATTTTGCTTCGCAGTACGGAGGGCAAATTGTAGGTTCTGAAGTATACTTCATATTATGAACATAAAGGTTATAGAATCTCTTTTTCAAAACACAGCTATGACCAAATTATGGAAAGTGGCTTGTACTATGGTTTTTTAAAATCTTTTATTAGCCATGGCCATGGGAGGCGACAGTGTTAACTAATTGAAAACAAGTGCTTATTTGTAAACTGGAAGAAAAAATTCTATAGGAATTGCTCATTGTAACAAAAAACTTGAGTTTTTTAATCTAATGTACTTAAGAATAAAACTGATGAAAAGGTGGCTTATTGATATCGTTTTCGAATTACCTTATTTGAAAATCGCCATGCCGATTTTGTATACATTACACTCAGTAATCTTGATGTTAATGCCCTATGAATTTCAAAACCAGATTCAAATAATTCCTCTTCAATGTTACCATTAAGTTTGTCTTTTCTTTCACAATTTATTGTTTAAAGTAACAAATAAGAGATCTCGCCTAAACTACTATATCCTCATTTTCAGTGCATGCTGTATTTGTTGAAATCATGAAATTCAATCTGGGATACTTACTCGTTGATAGGCTATTTCCATCTAAATTAACTTGATGATTTTAGGTTTTGGTGCTGTTTTTTTTTTCAAAAAGTGCGATTTATTAAAAACGAGCACACTTGTACCTTCGCTTTGTTTGGGTCGAGGCACAGAGGTGAGAGTCAAGAGCAGCCAACTTTCACCCTCGTAACTTAAAGTGCTTAGAAGTGGTAAACGTGATTAAAATTGGCCGCTTCCAACTCAAACTTCTCCCCTAATTGTAGCTTCGAGTTCGAACGGCTGGATGGCACTGTGCGAGGTATTCAGCGCCAGTCCGCCATCGATCGGTTCAATTCACACGGCGCAGCACCTTTTGTCTTTCTCCTTTCCACACGCGCAGGCGGAGAGGGCATCAACCTTGCCTCTGCTGACACGGTAAGTCCTCCTTCAACGGTACATTCCCCCTTTTTCCTCATCATTGGCGCATTTTCTGCTGCATCATCAGGTGATTCTCTTTGACTCCGACTGGAACCCTTTTCGGGACATGCAGGCACTGGCGCGTGCTCACCGTATCGGACAGTCGAAACACGTTCTCATTTACCGCCTCATTATGCGCGATACCGTGGAGGAGCGCATCATCCACGTTGCACGGTGTAAGCTCGCTCTGACCAAGATCATGGACGAAGATCGCGCTGCCGAAGCAGTCGAGATATCGGCGCTGAATTCGACGCCTGCTAAGAGTAACGAGGAGAAGCGCCACCTTTTGCGTCTCTCTCGCAGTGAGGCTCACGACATCCTCAGAACGGGTCTGGATGGCCTCTTTGCCAGTGACGATGGGGAGTACGGCGAGATCGACGCTAGTGGAAAGGATCAAGCAGTGATGAAAGCCAAAGATGGTGGGTTTTAGTGTTTTGAAGCTTATTCAGGGCTTTGGAGATTGACTGGTCAACTAAATAGTATTTATTTTACGCGAAGTCATTCTTGTAGATTGACATTCCAACAAATTTGCATGCTTTCAGGTGTTCATGGAAAAGCTGGGGCTAGGCTACATTAAAGGCTCCGCTGTTTTCTGTGGATGGATTTTTTGATCACGTTTTCATCCGCTGCATATGGTTGCTGCCTCTTTTAACGTTAGGAGTTTAATGCATGAATTGCCCTCTGTGTTACCTGCCCATTTTAGTCATACCTTCATCCGAATCATTTTAAAATACCGTTTATAATCTATGGAAAATGTTATTGATATAAATGCTCGCTTTTTGGAAAGGGCCGATAATGTAGTCGTTTTCGTTTCATAAATATAGTTACAAGTTTTCCTGACCACTTGTGTTCAGTAAAATGTGCAGTACGCTCAATGCTAAAGTCGGTAGAAGACCCCATTTTAATGTTCTGAAATACCGGTTATTTGTGCAATAAGTTGTAGACTATTGTGTTATCGCGTTCTATTTCATCAAAATTTGTTTGATTTGTCTTCTACCATTCAGCACTGTTAAATCTAGATTTTCCTCGCTAGTCATTATTAAAACTAGTTCGTTATTACTTTGGAAAAGGGCAGAATATACTTGATTTTGTGTTTACAAGGATCGACATTCAAATTTTTGTCATAAATGATTCTTTTCGAACATTCTGCGATTGAGTACATGACCTTATGATCCTTTCTTTAGCTAAAGTCATGGAAAAACTTGCTTGTTTGTCTTTTTACCTTGACTTCACAGCGCTTGCGGAAAGTTATTTGCGTCGTTGACCCTGAGTTGGTATTCAATCGGAATTTTGGATTCGGAATAGCTGGTGTTTCTTTCGATCCGGTTTTCACGACTTCAAATTTTATTACCGTCCTATTTCTATTCTCAGACCTCACAAATGATCAGCTGGCTAAAGAGAATACTAATGCTGAATCACCAATTCTTACTGTCAACAGAATCAAGATTCGCTACTCTGAATTCTAGTTTAACTATACTGATTGCTGTCTTATCACCTGAAACATGATTTATCTGTGGTTTCATATAGAAATCTGTGCCATGCCGAAAGGTACGGGTATGGGTAAATTTGCGGAAAAAATTAAAGCAGTCCACAGTCTGCTCCACAAGTGCGCCTGGAGGCACAAAAACCCAAAAGCTGACGTGGAGGGATCAATTCTACATTCCATCCAGTTTATCTCTTGCAATCCTTCCAGAATAACTGTTACATGATTGAATCTGTGTTCATAGGGAACTATTGAGTCATGGGGGTCAGTTGCCCGAACTTGCCTTTTTCATTTGTATAGAGGTCTTAGTGTTATTATTTTCCCTACTGTTTTGATTTCATCAGTGGCTACGCTTTTATTCGGTGCTCATTTTGTCATTGCAACTTGAACAGTTCAATGGTGATTACTTTTATACGGCAGCGAAGCCCAATTTTTTGCAGGCTAAATCTTGAATAAGTAGATGGTAAATAAAGAAGAGGCTGTCGATAGTGCTGGAGAAAGGAATGAGCCGAAAAACCAACACGATTTGAGGCTACATTAGTTTACCTGATGGTCACCACATGCTACTCATTTCCATTTCGCTTGCTGTGGCATGGTTAGTGTGGCTTTGAAATCCGTTCCACCCTCACTCCTACAATCCACTCTCCTCATTTCCTAGATAAACGGAAATTGGGGACGGAGAGCGGCGTCCTGATCTACGACGATGGGATTCTGGAGCGTCTGCTTGATCGCGATGCCCTGTCAAGAGTCAAGGAGACCTCAGAAACCATCGAAGCGTGTGCAGGCGACTTTGATTCACCCCCTATAGTCTTCTCCCCATGCTTGAAAGAAAATGTGGATGCCTCAGCGCAGAATTATCAAGACGGCGACAAACATTATTTTTCCACTGATGCAAAGGAACCTACGGTGAGTAATTGTTTTCTGCTTGTATTTGTGCTTACTTTGCGCAAAATAGCTTCAATTTAGGATGCCTCTATAAATGGGGTTTTGGTTTTGTAAACATTTTCAACAGTCACACATTTACTGTTTAAAAAAAATGCTTTTGTGGCATTTTTACATTTCATTTAAAACTTAACGGATGACCTAATTTGATTTAAACTCGACCACTTATTTGCATTACCATCAAGTGAATAAAAAAACAGTACATTTGCATTATAACGTGGCAGTGTAATCATTCTCAATCCATTTATTTGCCGTTGACAGCTTCCTTCTAGGGATTAGTCTCTAATCTTTACAGGGACGGATAGTAACTTTACCATTGGTGGCCCTTTCAACGGGTATGAAGTTTGATATGATAAGAAAAGCAGATCAACTTGGCCCTTACATCTCAAACTGGCGGCTTTTTTCTGTTTACTCAAGCTTGAGCTGATTTTGGAAGTTTGCTTTACTGTGCGGCATTTTATGCTATCAGCATCGTTTTTCATCACTAAATTTAATCTATTGATGTTGCTCATTCCAATTATAGTTCAAGGTCTTATTCCTTTACCCATTTTTAGTCGTCTTTAGGGATAATGTGTGTGTGTGTGTGTGTGTGTGTGTGTGCGTGTGTGTGTGTGTGTGTGTGTGTGTGTTTGATTCTTCATGGCTAGAGCTACATCATTTTTCTAGATGAATGAGCGGGAGATGAGTGAGTTTTGGGAGGCCCTCTTGAAGAAGCGCTACGAGCGCATGCTCATGCAGGAGGAACAAGAGATGTCCCAAGGCAATCTTGGGGGCGGACAGGATCCTCGTGGTACTACCGAGGACAGCATGATTATTATCGAAGACTCGGACGACTCCGACCCCGGGCATCATCCTCCTATCGAAGGGGGTGGTACTGCTGCTACTACCGCCACGTCCGATAATGCTGTATCTGAAGCCAATTCGGATTCCGTGGAGATTGTCAACTGGACTTCTGGAAGTGGCTCACTGTAAACAATTGTTCTTTTTGTGCAGTTATCATTGAGTTATTATTCCAAAGGGCAGATCCATTGATTACTTTGGCCAGGGAATAGGTCGAAAAAAATGAGATAGACATTGTCTAATCGGTAGCTTTCAGGTCAATAAATTTTTACGCGGTAATGTTTGTGGCCTATTGGTTAATTTTCCTCAAAAACTGTTGCAATTTTCATGGCCTAACATTTATTTGCAAAGCCTTTTCAAGCATGCTACACATTTGCTGGCTTCTGTGCCTTCCCTTTTACCTTGTTCTGATGGCATTATTAGCACATTTTGGTGGTAACACCTTTTTTGTTTTTGATACATTTTGAAATTGGGAACTGTTGTACGCGGGTGTAATATACTTAGGTAGCTTTACATACACGAAATTTTTTCTGCTTAAACCTTCCAAGCTTGTTCGATAATTCCATGATATTAGTTCTTAGAGAAAGCCTCTTCTGAACGATTTGACCTGCGTAGTTTTGAAAATTGCCCTACTTTCATGCAGCTTGGCATTCTTCACAAGTAACATGGCCCTTAGTAGTACTATTGATTGGTGACGACCTCTGGATCTTTTTTAGTCGTTCGATACAATAATTGAAATAAGAAGTCGATCTACCCATTTACTGCGTAAACTACTTTTGGCACCCAGTCTTACTTCCGAGAAGATAGTGGTAGTTAGAAATCCTTCGTCCTACTTCGTTTTAGGCTCTGCTCAGCGGCGTCAGCCACAGCAACGAAGTCGGAGGCCCCTGAACCAAGTAATGACATGGAGGGCTTAATAGCTCGTCGAAGGCGGAGTACTAGGCGTGTCCGGCCTACAGCCCTCTCTCTCTCCGCTTACCACTTCATCACAAGGGCGGACGAAGACGATGATAACGACGGCTACGGTGAAACCTCCCGAACTCCACGTAACAACCGTCGCTCTCGCCGTAGTGGTACTGCAACGGCAGCTGAAAGTGACGAGGAATTCCGTCCCGACTCCGGCATGTCCTCCTCCTCTGATGAAGTTGAACCCAACAATAACAATGATGCACGCGAGGTACCCACCAACGACAGTGCACTCCGAGACTCCCACGAAAATCAATCCCGAGTGGGCCATTTTTCCTCACCTGAAATTAATCTCCTTTTTTTCGTCTTTAACAGTTATCCTTCCCTTTTCTTGTAGTCTAGAAGGAGGAGGGAGCATGGTTTACGTGGAGGAGCCGAGGAGGATTTTTCCCGCTCGCCTCCCGGAGAGGAAGAATCGCAAATGGCTGATATGTACCGCCAAGTTGATTGGCAAACCGACACCACTGCTATGTGTTCGCCTTTGAGGGATCTTCTCGCTGATCTGCCGGAAGATGTACGCTTCGAGGATAACAAAATGACAGTTTTTGGCTTCAACGCTCACGAACGTCAACTCTTTCTCGAATCGGTCATGCGGTATGGCAGACGTGCCTAAGTGCGCTTTAATGCTTCTATGCACCCATGCTGACTGCTTGTTTTATGCTCTCTCTAGCTACGGCATTCCGCCGAAGGGTACCTTGCCACCACCGGAGTGGCTTCCATTCACTCTGAGGTCGAAGCCTCCAGAGGAATTATTTGGTTACACCAATCTTTTCATGCGACACCTCTACTCTGACCCCAAAGTTCTGGATGCAGAAGCTCTCCGGTGAGTGCAGTCATCGCTATGACTTCAATTAAGTCTGAAGTGCGTGAATGGAGTCATCATCATCATCCCTCTCTTCACAGCTGGTCCGACGGCGTTCCAACAGAGGGTGTGTCGGGTGTTGCGGTGCTCTCTCGCATCGCCATGATGGCCCTGATTCGAGCCAAGGCTGTTCAGTTTGAGGAATGTGTTGCTGTTCCGAAAAAGTTCAAACAGGTAAGGAACAAGGTCACATCAAGTCACCTTGAACACTGGAAACATCTTGTGTTCTTTGGGTGAGGGTGCTTCACTGAGCACATTTCCACCATTACAGACGGCCGACGATACATTTCGCTTCGACATCTACGACGGTGGTCTGACGCTGCTCTCAAGCCTTTGGCAGCAGGACATGGATCAGTTGTCGGCCCGCTTCAAGAAGTTGCGTTCATCATTACGAACAACAGTGGCACCAGCAGCGTCAGCTCCGCGGTCTCCATCGGCAGTAGCTGATTCGGAACCGATCTTGTCGTCGATGGAGATGGCGGAGACAGGGACATCAAGCTCAGGAGCCTTATCGGCAGAGAATCGTGCTCTCAGTGTAATTTTGCGCAAATGGCACAATCGTCACGATTACATGCTCCTCGCGGGTATCCACACCTATGGGTATGCCGCCTTTGGTGACATCCTCAAAGACAAACGCTTCAGTATGCTCCTTCTCGGGCTCGCTGAACGCGTTCTACCGCCTGAAAGAGCGGATCCTCTGGCTGAATGCGTCTCCAATTGTGAGTGCACTCTCCCCTTATTCTTTCTCAGTTGAAGGACATAATAGACCTATTCCATAAGTATTTCTAGCAAATGCTTATTGGCCGTTATCGATGAGGATTCCAGCCCACCGATTGCTGTCGGAAGAGGACTATGCTTGGCAGTTAGTTAATACTTTCAAAAATGCTCGATCCTTAAATCCATTTTTCTTTAGTCTTTTGGCCAAAATGACAATTCAAACTGCTTCTAATTGTATTACAATTTTGCGTGAGTTTTTTAATCATTGCACCCATTACTTTATTGAGATCCTGCATACTGGCCACATGTTTCTTCAATAGAGTAACCTTTTTGGGAAAGAATGGATTTTTTTGAAATAGGCGTGGCTGTTTCAATTATGTTTTTGGGCATTTAGTTTCTGGCAGATTTGATGATAAATGGAACAACTTGACTGCTCCTATTGAAACACGGTGAATTTGTTGGCTTATCTGGTCGCCGGTGCTATCATAATACATGCATATCTATCTTGAAGTGGCCGTATTGCAGACGCACGGTAGCTCCGGAAAGTTAGTCTAGACGCCATGCAAAATCACCTCCACCCCCTTTTGAGGGTCAACTTAGGCGCTTGTACACACTTCTACTGTGGTCGTCACTAGGTATTAGAATGGTTTTAAATCATCCACTAGACAGGAATAAAGATTGTACAATAATTTTCAACCCCAATGAGAAGACTACCAAATTTATCAGCTATGTACTGCTTGATTCTCGATGAATATCTACAAATAGCGTAGTTTGTTTATCCATCACCTTTCTTTGAAAAATCCACCCACAACCGAAAATATTTATT